AACGGGCTTCCACGATGTAACATGCCGTGACGGTCTGAGTCCGGCAGGGGACACGCCCAGCTGAACAGGTCTTCATCATGTTCGCATCCTTGCCAGATTAGGGCAATGTTAGTGGGTGGAAAGATGGAAGAATTGAAAACAGAAATGAACAGATTAAAAATAGATATACTGGGATTATGTGAGACAAGTTGGGAAGGAAGCAGAGGCTATTGGGACGGGGACTATAGAATAATTTACACTGGAGAAAAGTGAGAGACGAATGATACAGCTATAGGTTTAAATAAAAAGTGGGGAAATGAAAAAAATCTTCGAAGAACTAGTGTCGAGAAAAGCGCGGGAAACTTCTAACAATGCGGACATGATGCGGACGTACTTTTTGTAACATAAAATTTAAACTTGATTTTTATTGATTAATTCGTCATTCAATCATTTGAGTTACGTAGTGTAAATATTTTAGAAGTTAGTAAACATTAATTCTATTTGTGTATATATTGCTGTACATCTGGTAAGTTTTGTAAATATTTTCTCTATGTGAGTTACATGACCGAACCTCCTGATATTGCTTTGGGGGAGTTCACCCTGTTGGTCACAATGTAACTATACCTGTAAAGGGAAGCGGAATGGATACTGATATTTCAGTAAGTAGAGCCGATTGGTCTGTACAGCGAAAAAAAATCGCAAAAGAAAGAGGACACATCACTGTAACACTAATGACGCAAATGAATTAGATTCTCACTATGGCAGTATGGAGAAATTATCAAATACATTTACCGAAAATAGTTTCAAACAACCTTTAAACCCAAAAAGCTCTGAAAACCCCCCTCAGGGACCTTCAACAACTTTACACACTGATTATGACAAAATATTGAACAAAGAAGAACCTCGGTTCTTCATTATCATATATCATATCATTCTCCACAGCCCGAGATGCCAATGACTTCATTAAAAGCAGTAAATTAGAAAATTTTAAACTCCGTGCATTTATTCCAATGTTCAATGTCACCAGATTAGGCGTAGTCCGGGGTGTACCATCTGAGTGGACATCTGAGGAAATTCTAAATAATGTCTCTGTTCCATTGGGATGTGGGCAAATTATTAAAATTACGCGCCTTAATTTTAAAACACAGGTAAATGGGTCTACAGTTTGGAAACCTTCACAATCAGTTGTGTTCACATTTGATGGTCAAGTACTTCCCAAAAGAATATATATGTATATATGCTATAATGCATTGGCAGTAGAACTGTATACGTATCCAACTATCCAATGCTTTAATTGTTGCCGTTATGGTCATACGAAATTTGTTTGTCGCTCTCGCCTAGGTGCTTGCAATAAGTGTGCTCAGGAGCATAGGAGTGAAAGCTGCAATGTTGAGGAAAGCTGTGGATTGTGTATGATGTGTTCAGGGTATCATTATGCTATAACCAAAACTTGTCCAGAATGTAATCGTCAAAAAGAGATTAAATTGACTATGTCTCATAGTAGTATTTCTTATATGGAAACTTGCAAACTTCATCGACCAGTTTCAAAACCATATGCTGATGTAGTTTCAACAAAACTTACTCCAGTAAACACTAAAAATAATGTCAGACAATCCCACAATTCTCAAACTACCTCTTATAAAAAAACTGTTATTGAAACCACTCTCACCACCAAACGTAATGAAAGGGTACTATGAAGTAGCCCATAATGCTATTAATCCAAATTACAAAATGCCTTCTACATCAGCAAATGGTTGTGCATTACAACTACTGCTGACAGTGCTGACAGTTTAGAGAATCAGGATATAATAGAAACCATTATCACTATACTTAAGACCTTGTACAGAAAATACAGTCAAACCCTCCAACGTTACTGTGATAGTTGAAATACTCACTAGTTTAATTACTAAAAATAATGGATGGAGTATACTATCTAAAAAAGTGACCTAATTCATACAATTAGTAAACATAAAATTAATGTTATTGCATTATCTGAGACATGGTCGTCAACTACCAATGCCATGCAGGTTGAATGTGCAGAGCCCACTCTTAGCTTAAAACGACAACTTCTAAGTGATAAATTTTTATTTAAAACCTTTCAGTTTTCTCACCATCCTCTTTTCCATGAGCTACAAATTCTTGAAGAACATATATATCCACTTAATTACTGGCGACACAAACCCCCACCTGCCTCATTAATAGTTTCAGGAAACTCTTAGCTCTTCAAGCTCCCATTTACCGCTCTCCCGTCTTACCTGTATTTGTTAACACTTTGAGTCTCTCTTTAAGTCCTGTTATTTGTTACAACGTCGGTGTAGATAAAAATGACATAGAAGCAAACACTTTATTCAAGTTTAATACAGATGAAAAGATTCACACTTTATTTTTACAGATGCCTCAAAATGTTCAGATGCTGAAAATGGGGAGTAGGTGTTTTTCATGCTCAATACAATATTGTTCATAAAATTAAATTACCACCTGAGGCATCTGTATTTACAGGAGAATGCTTAGGCATTCTCAAAGCCCTTGAATATATTATAATAATGAAATTAAACAAATCTGTGATATTTAGCGATTCTAAAAGTTCATTACAAGCTATTAAAAAATTCCCATTCAAAATGAAGCCTTGTTATTCTGTTTTCTGTGATATTAGAGAAAAGCTTTTAAATGTAAATCTTTAAATTATTCAGTAGGTTTAGCATGGATACCGAGTCATCAAGGTATAAAAGGTAACGAAAGAGCTGATCAGTTGGCTAAAGACGCTGTGACTAGTGGAGATGTTCATCCATATATCAATTATTGCCATGATTTAATTTCCTTACCTAGAATCTATCTATTGGATTCCTGGGAAAAACTTTTAACTAAAACCTCTCAAACGAAAGGCAAACAATATTTCAAAGTACAGCCTCATATTCCTAAAAAAACCCTGGTTTACTCGGATAGAATGTAATAAAACAATTACTAGTATTATTGTACGAATGCGTCTTGGTCATGTGTGCACCCCTGCACACTAACTAGATTACATATTGCGTATAACCAGTGTGAATGTGCAAACGATACGGGTGACCTCGATTCATTTCCTGTCCCCGCTATGATCGTTCCTCTTTCCTAAATTCCCTAACAGACTTCAATGTTCCATTTCCTACCCGTCTGTCCTGTTTACTATCACATTCATATACCTACTATAATGTTTTATCTTCCTTTATCCTGGACAATGATTTTAAAATATGATTAATATGTATATGTTAATTTATAACCTTATCCTTATTATATTTATAATACTTATACCCTTGTGATCCACTTTTTCCAAGTGCTGCGATTCTTCCATTTTTTTTTTTCATTATAATCCTGTTTCTCTACCTTTTAACTTGACATTGGCAAAAAGTCGAAGCTCTATTGCCATAACATAAAAAAAATAGTATCACGCTCCGAAACGCAATTCGTCTTATGTGTTAAGTATATTTAAGTATAATATTAATCCATTGGTAAATAAATATTCTGATTATTATTGACAACGACAACACTAATTTTGTTTAATTAGATTATTTTAAGTTGTCGAAGAATTAAAATAATTTCGTTAATCATGCGTTAATCACATAAAATTATAAGTACCTACAAAAAAAAAGAAAACGTATGTGGTGTAAATTCAAAACGCACCCAAATTTGAGTTATTTTATTCAAATTTTCTTAAAATCACTTCAGTACTTTGGATTGGATCACAAACTAAGTATTAAGTAGGGATTGTACTGTAATAAATTGAAGAGAAACAAAACATGAGCGAGCCTGAGTCTAGCGTTGATGAAAAACTGATTTGTTATAGTTCAACTGATTCTTTCATCTACCATTTTCCTCGGTATAGTGGGGTGAAAAGTTGTGTGTTTCGTTCGGCTGCAAAGTTGTTTTGCGTGTCGTAACTTGAAACCCTCGCTGCACTCAGGATTTTATTTTCGAACCATTCTATTTTCCCTCGTTTCAATCTTAGAACTCTTCGCTTGCTCAGGTTTCAATACAAGCACAAACAACAACTGTGCAGCCTTGCATAACAAATAACTATTACTGTTGTCTATGCGCAACGCATCAGAGTAGGTACCACTTATCTAACTATTTCTACGACAAAGCAGCACTACCGTGTCCCGAATAATAGAGTACGCAAAACTCACAATATTATGTCTCACGACCAGTAACGCATATTTGCGATATTAAGACATAGATAAAAGGATATTTTGTGCTTGCAAATGGAAACTTTCCATCAGGTGTAGCTTCTGACTGCTATCTATACAGAAATTTAAAAAAAAATAATTTATTATTAGGTAGCATAGAGTAAAAACGTAAATCGTAAAACGGAAGTATTCAGGTCTCTTCAATGTTTTCGTAAACAAAGGGTTTATATGATTCACAACATTTTTTTGTCTTTAAATTGCTTTCTACAACATCCTGTGGTCCTCTTTCTAACCGGGAGTTAGCAAATGTTTATTACCCGCTATGAATACGCGCCAGCATCACAATTATCGATAACAATAAAGTTTCAAACTTTTATTTTTATTTTATAATGGTTGATGATAAGCTACACGCCTGTTCATAACAGTTGTAGTGTCCTCAGAGCTTTAGATCGCAAAAATTTGAAGGGCACTGCCACGGCGCCCGTCACCCTGAGACATAAGTTGATAAGTCCCATGTGCCTGTAATTTTACCAGCACCCTTACCCTTCAAAACACAGTAATGCTGACATTACTGCTTGGCAACAGAAATAGGTAAGATGGCAGACTTCCCTGGACGAACTCTTTCACAAGGAGCTCTACTGCTACTAACAGTTCTCACGGAAACCACAGTTTATCAGTTCCGTTTAGTGGTTTTGCGCCCCGAAGCAGTACTAATGTTGCACTCCAACCCAAAACCATATAATGTACAAAAACCAGAATATGATCTAGTCTTGTCACATCACTTCACAGGTCACTGTGAAGTGTAGTTACCTCACATTAGGTCTTAGTTGTATTATATTAACGGGTTTTTCAGGAATTAGTAGTGAAAAATTTAAGATGGCAGACGAATTCACCGTAAAAAGTCTGACTCTACTGTTCGACCGTCCCAGCGAACCTCTCATCACCCCAAAGGGTGATAACAAAGCTGTCTTTCAATTGACTGACCAGTTTGTCGTAAGTTGAAAACTAACTATAGATAGTTTAATGTTACTACTATAATAATAATTACTACTGTAATATTTGTATGGCGTACATTTATTTATCTCGTGCGTTTATGTGCAATTTGTGGTTGTCTATGTGCGTCCATGGAACCCGCTCGTTTATCTGCGGCAGGTAATATAAATATATTTGTACCATAATATAGGTACAGACTGTCCCACGGTTATGCGACACGGAGGGAAAGTACTTTCACTTTAAATTAAAATTAAATTAAATTGGACTTTATTCATCAAACACACCCACACATGTTACAAAGAACATCACACGATTTTGCGTACTAACAAATTATGAGCTATGAGTGATGGAAAGGACGAAATCTCAACATAGTGCTGTTTTTCAGTCTCCGCCTGTGTTCTCTATCGAATATTGTCGGAACATAATTTTGAGCTAGAGGACTACAACAAAACAAACATCATTCATCTAACTTAAATCTAACTAAAAATCTAACTATTTATTTACTTTACAGTATGTCGGTTACAAGTGATAATAATAAAAAACAAACAAATCTAATCAGGACGACTTTAATTGAACTGTGTTCCTTTTTATTTAAAATATTATATTACTTGAAAGGAATTAATCCTTATAATTGACCCTGTCGATCAGCATCATAAAAATACAGAATGCTTTTTTTACATTTTGTCGATTTTATTCCCAGGTATAGCAAACAACTTTTCCAAATCTTTGAATACAGTATTACTTATTTTTAAACATAAAATAATATCTCAATGAAGCAAAACATCCTGTCTACAATATTTAACGTGTACTTTCTCTCTTTTCATGCCCTTTAAACACTATTTTTTAAATTACATAGTCGTGGGACAACCCGTGTAATATTTTCCACATGAATATTATAACTACGACTTGATTTTCTTCTCAACTAAATTGTAGGAGTTCCTTAAATTCTGCTAAGATTTAAACATATTGCTTAATATATAGCACATATAGTTATACAAACGTGAATATTTTTTCTCTTCGAAGTAAAATACCCTAATAGATATTTAGAAAGGTATTCTTGTATAATAACTAACGAGGTACGGATTTTTAGATTACGAAGGTTCTGAAAAGAAAACCTGCGTACCTAGCAGTAATCGATTCTAAAACAGCACACCTTTTAGCCTCCAGATTACGAGAACAACGGCTTAGACCTCAACAACCGCTTCGGCGAGGATGCTACCGAGACGATCCCACTGAAGAACTTGAGCCAGGTGCCACAATTTCCCAATGCGTCGCAGCTACCACCCGATGCAGACTTCTCTCTCTTCCTGCCGAAACACCAAGAGATGGCTACGGAGGTCATCGATGTACTTATGAGTGAGTAAGAGTTACGATGCGACCTCTTTCATCGTCATCCTACCTTTTTATCACCCTTTTATCTAGTTCCTGACCACCTACTACTTTGAGTTTTGAATCGTTTTTAAATTCCTCTCACTTTTCGTCTTTCCGTCGACACTGTCTACTAAATTTCCGAAGCGGGCACACGTACTCAACTTTTCATAAAATTCTGACCAGTTAAATCATGTAACCTATCTGCTTGTAAAGTATTATATTTGTAATACCATTGAAAATCATGTAACCGAAATGCTTATAAGCATAGTATTTCTAGAAAATACGGGCCTTTTTCGGGTAAGTTCCTTTTTTTACCTATTAACGTGTATCTAATTAAAGTAGGTTGTGTTATTATACGATTGTACCTGATGTTTTATTACAGCCTTTACGCTTTTACTATACCTGTTCTTATCCCTTCCTGTACCTTCTCTTTCTTATTTCTACAATAAAATGCATGTGGACCAAGCCTCCTATTTAATTGCACATTTACTACTTTCCCTATAGATCTATATAGCTTGATTGATATAAAAGTGCTTAGAATTGTGTAAAAATATTTGAATGTAGTACAACCATAGCCCACCTCAAAATAAAATTTCATTATATGTTTGCATTTTATACGAGTCTTATGTTTTTATATCTTTGAACTTCTTATATTTCACAAATATATGGTGGGGTGAAAGTTTATATTAAAACGTTTGTAAACAATTATCTCCATTCTGTGTCGCACATGTCTACATTAATTTGCCGCGAGTTAAGCAAAATAATACCGATTGAAATATCTACCTATTACAAGAGGAGATAAAATTAAAACAATAAAACCTGTAATAAAACATCTGTTTCACATAAAAAATATTACAGCATAATACAACGAGGATAAAAATGTGTAAAAACTTTAATGGTTAAATGAAGAGATTGTATAATATAGCTCTGATGGCGCTTTTTCTTTAACGTTCAAATAGAACTCGAAATTAAAAAGTAAAATGAAAAACATCGAATCAACACAGCAGACCTAACGAGTTAAGGCCTATTTAGATAAAGAGAGAGTTTATCGTCTCGAAGATACGATTATCGAAAGAATATAAAAAACTTTCCTCGTGTAAACATTCGCGATTATCGAACGTCCACGTGAGCGATAATCGCCTCGCCTTTCAATATTGAACGACTAAACAGAACTCGAAAGCAAAAATCGTATTTCGAGTTTCTGTGCAAGCCGTTTCTGCCACGAGTGCAGTGCGCGAGGGAGTTTTGATTATCACTGCTTTTCTAAGACAAGAATTAATGAAACGAGAACGAAAAAAAATTTTGGATTAAGAAATGTTATAAAATTTGAAAAAAAAAATGTATATTTTTCTACAATGCAATGAACTTAATATTATCAGCAGTTCCAAATTTGAATGATTTTTGCGTCATTTCGATATATCCATAGTCAATATCGCAGTAATCACAGAACTCGAATGGCGATTCTCGCACTCAAAACGGTTCGAACCGATTTGTACGATAATCGTATGAACTTGAAAAAATGTCATACGAGATCGTGTTTAGACAAGTCGAAAACTCGTAAGCAAGAATCTCCTTACTACATATTTATCTGTGTAAACAGTCGAGGAGGCGATTAAGTTGCTTGCGAATCTCGTATGACATAATCGTAGGCGATATTTTAGTTCTTGCCTGAATGTAAACTTTATGATACGATAATCTTATGGCGATTATTGCTTACGATAATCACCTACGAGTTTTCGTCACGAAGCGTGCGAGAAACTCTCTCCATCTAAATGGGCCTTTAGAGTGAATTAATGTATTTTTTAGTACATAATATTTTGTATTGACTCCATCTGTAGCTCTGTTGGTAGAGTGGCGGCCCTAATTTGGGATACAGACGCAAGTTCGAGTCCTGTCAGAATATTTTTTTGTGTTAAAACTTTGTATTAATAATTATAACAAGCCAGTAGAGTAATTTCACAAAAAATAAACGAATATCATGGTAGCAAAACATCATAACATTCAATAAAATCAAAAGCTTGGGTTTTATTGCAATTGTTAGAGAACTGGTAAAGTTTGTAATGACAAAGATTATATTTGTTTTTTCAAACAAACCGACGTTTCGGACCCTTTACAGGTTCCATGGTCACGGTTGACTGAGGTGGTACAGTCATCAACCAGTTATGTCTAATAATAATAATAATAAGCAAACCACCCTATTTTTTCACTATAGTTACAAAAGTTATTAATTAAATACCTTATTTTTAATTTTACAAAGAAAAGGTGTTACAGACAAGATCGGAAGAGTCCTCAGACGTGCATCTATCAAGACCTATTTCAAGCACCTGAGGAAGATTTCTCAGTTCCTGAGAGCTGTGAAATGTAACATGCCCTTACAGGATGCAGGAGTTTACAAGCTTGACTGTGAGTGCGGTATCTCTTATATTGGACAAACGAAGCGAAGTATTTGTACCCACGTCAAAGAACATATAGCTGATGTCAAACACCGTCGCGTAAACATGTCTGCAGTCTGCGAGCATGTCATGGATAAACGTACACATTCAATGAAGTTTGACAAACCCCAGGTCCTTACAAAAGAAATCCGTTGTCTACCCAGGATGATGCGAGAGTCCATTGAAATTAAAAAACATTCTAATTTCAACAGGGAAGATGGTTTCTCCGCACCACCAGTTTGGGATCCTGTATTTCCTCTGATGAAAAATCCCAAACAGACATACAGTAGACTACAGTACTAATTAATATGTTTTAATTTATTCAAATTTCTATTATTAATTAATAATAAATAGAACTTAATAAAAATTCATTCAATAAAATAATTTGTAAAACGTAATGTAGCGTAAATTAGAATGTTTCTTTGTAAAATTAAAGGTATTAATAACTCTTGTAACTATAGTGAAAAATTAGGGTGGCTCGCATTAATATTAGACAAACTGGTTGAAGGCTGTACCACCTCAGTCAACTGTGACCATGGAACCTGTAAAGGGCCCGAAACGTCGGTTTGTTTGAAAAAACAAATATACGCGATTTAAATCCGGAAAAATAGTTTCATTTCCTATGTGTAATAATCGCGAAAACCTAAGAACTAGAGACAAAGATAATATTTCTTACAGGTGTGCCTGAGAATCAGCTGGCAGACTTCCTTTCCACCTGTGCCTTCTCCAGGGTGCATCTAAACCCGCAGCTTTTCAACTATTGTTTCTCTACAGCTTTGATGCACAGGTATAATAATAATCCTTTATTCAAATTAAGTATAAAAACTTAAGAAGTATTTAGCCTGGCTCTTACTCCCGTTCCGAGATAAAGTTTCTTTAATAACACAATGCTAATTGCAATGTGTTTAGTGTGAATCACACTTCTTAAATTGATAATACCGCTTACTAGTACGGTTTTAAAAATCTTTTTTTTTTTTAATAGAACTCACTCCTTAATTTATGGTAGTCTGAGTAATACGGCATGCTAGTGCGGTATTACACGTCGTAATTTTGAAAAACATAACCTATTTGTCGAATCGCCGGACAACTTCTTCTTGAGCTACATACCACTATTATTTTATATTTAGGTAAGTATATAAACATGGAGTACCCCAGAAGCACAAAATAATTTAACGTTTTTCTACATTAATCATTTATTAAACTGCTATCAGTGCATACACCTTTTCCAGTAGGTGCAGTGCAATATGTTAACTATTTAAAACTACATGAAATTATGTTTGCATATTATCAAGACAAATTTACAGAAAGATCATTCATAAAACACAATAATGGTATTTCCTACCAGCCAGCCATTTGTCGCTAATCGCGTGCGGCCGCACAGACTTTTATAAATAACGAATTATATTTTATCCCCAGACGAGACACGCGCAATGTGCCGATTCCCAATCTCGCAGAGACATTTCCATTCAAATTCATGGATTCACATGTGTTCCAGCAGGCTCGCGAATCCACGCAAGTCTTGGAAAACGCAGAGGTAATGAATATTTTTATTTAATGTTACAAAATAAGTAACGACACATTGTTTCATAGATTGGGTTCCCAGCTTCTCAGATCTTGATTAAATTATTTATGAGACCATTCGATAACATCAACTACTACATACATAAAAAAGACCTGGCCCAGCAGTGCGAGGTTAGTTTTCTTTTAGTTCAGTAAATTAACTGCTTTCAGTATATCACATATTCATTTCTTACACTATGAAACAATTTTTCCCTTTCCTTCACAACACATATCGCATTTTTTATCAGATTCCAAAAATAACATAGGTTTTTTTAATTATTTTTCTTTGGAATATAAAAAGGGATCCAATATACTTAACTAAGCATAGTCCTACAAAATTGTATACATACACATATGTATACAGTTTGACTGCAGGATCAAAACGAGTCTCAATTGAGCAAAAAGTTACAAACTGACACTCAATGTGGTTAAAAATACTTAAATAATATAATTACTAAATATTCAACAAAAACTTGTGAAATTAATGAAATTCGACATTCTTTTGTCTTTTTACATCGTCATTTTTTTTAATTTACAATTTTTAGTGTCATGTCTAATAACCTCTGGTAAGCTGTTTAATATGTATGGAATACGTTTCTTTAAAGTCCTATCTCCATAGTAGTTGGTCACTCTTGGGAGTATAAATCTACCAGAGGTCATCGACCTTGAGGCCATGAGAACCATAGTGGCCTAATTCAATGGACAAGCCATAGTGGCCTATCTTACTTAGGCCAGTATGGCACCTCAAATTTAGATCACAGACTAAAAACCATAACAATGATTATGCTACCATCTAGTGAAAATTCGTTGTATCACTTTTAGGCCTTTCTGGTTCCATCAAAATGATCAATTTGAACTGGAAAAAATCATAAACTCAATATTGTAAAAAAATGAGTTAGGCCACTATGGTTCTCATGGCCTCGTATTATAGTTGTTATCAACCGTACACAATGAATGTATGATTGAAATGTAAGTCCTTAGCTATCAAGGGCATAGTTTAGTATGGGGTCTAGCAATCCATATACAAACATTTTAACGCGCTAGGTGGCACTTTGAAACTTCTTCTTGTCGTATCGATGACATGCATTTATGCCCACTATTGCGGCCCAGAACTCAGTCAAACCGATCGCTAGTAACTATTAGTGACTACTAGTAGCCCCATGAAATCCTCGTGCGTGCAGGGATTAAGGCACGCAGGGCACGATATGAGGTGGGCCATTGTTTGAGTCACACCGTACAAACAGTTCAGGTTAGAACCATCAGAAAATCCCCGCCTGAAGAAATTGTCCTTGCTCCGACCAACCAGAGTCCAAAGCCTATTTAAAGACCTCCAGATCGGCATGGCAATTCGTGTCCAGAAGGAAGACTCTCAGAAGGCGGGACAAACGTAAATGGTACTCTTCCGCGCCAAAGTTTGCATCTCGCCTGAGCCGGTTCAATGCTCGACACATTTGACAAAAATGTCCAACTCCTCTGTCTCTATTGCGGTGTGAAGTGATCGTGCATAAGCTGCCGAGTGTCGATAGCCATTTTTGCTCTTTCACAAGATGCTGCTACATTTCTGCGGATGTCTGGTGGCGCTATGCTAGCTAGTGGGTACAGCAGTCTTGCCGGGGTTGGCTTAAGATAGCCAGTTATGATCCGGCAAGTCTCATTGAAGACTGTATCCACTAATTTTGCATGAGTAGAACGGCTCCAAACGAGGCATGCGTATTCGCCAGCAGAAAAGGAAAATGCCAGCCCAGTAGTATGCATGACTTGGTGGGAAGCTCCCCACTTGGTGGTGATGAGATTCCGCAGTAAATTGTTGCGTGAGTGTACCTTCCCCTTGACTGTGCTTTCACAATTTTTCGCAAGGCGTCCTGACGACTTACCACTTAAGACGAGTTGATGGGCTATCTGGTTTGCGGTGATCAGACTAGAAGATAAGGGTGGGGATGGATCACTAGTAAGCTTTCGGATAGTATTCCATGCCTTTTTACTGTTACGAGTCATGTCAATATTAAAAACAGTGCTGATCCAACTATCTCGTCGATTTTCGCCTATCCCTGACAGCAGCTCCTCACCAACCAATGCGCTCTCATCAGAGGACGGGTCATCGCTGTATAACGACTCATACTCCTGCAGCTGTTCTACAGATTACCACACGCATTTGTACGTCTTGGCGGTCTTACTAAGCGCTTTCTTCAGCTTCAGAGTATTCGGAGCTTTGCGCAGATTTTGTGTTTCAGTACAGTCAGAGCTAAAACATGGACGAGCTTGGGGTCCATTGGGTACATCAGAGTATGGTATGTAATACTTCACACCCAGACGCAAGACTTCGACTAGTCAATAGACTTTTGTTCGAATATCGCCTCCAGAGCAATGGAACAAGATCCGTCAAAGTATAACTTGATATGCTGCCGTCCGTACCTATTTATTATATCAAATATGTATATTAACTTTTTGTGTTACAGCGTACGCCAATTATTATCCCAAGAGACTTCACTGCCACGGATTTAGAAGAAGAACATCGTCTGGCGTACTGGCGTGAAGATATTGGCGTCAACTTGCATCACTGGCACTGGCATCTCGTGTATCCTTTTACTTCTTCCAACAGAGCCATTGTGGCTAAAGACCGTCGTGGTGAACTCTTCTTCTATATGCACCAGCAGATCATTGCGCGGTACGTACGCACGATACGAAACGAAAAATCAATCCAGCTCACGGAATAAAACCTTTACCAAAACAGTTTACCCGTTAAATTCGTTTTATTACTTTTAAAAATCAATCTTATTCAACAGTTACAACGTTGAACGTCTCTGCAACTCACTGAAACGAGTAGTCAAGTTCAGCAACTGGAGGGAACCAATTCCAGAAGCATACTTCCCTAAGCTGGACAGTCTGACGTCAGCACGCGTTTACGCCCCGCGGCAGTCAGATATGCGCTGGCAAGATGTGAACCGCCCTGCCGACGACTTAAATATTACTATTCCAGACATGGAGAGATGGAGGAGGAACATTACCGAAGCAATTTCCACTGGAAGAGTGAGATTGGTAAGGATATTTACATTACCTTGGAGGCTGTACTTAGTACTTTATTTCATCTATGCTAGCCATGCATCCTCCTGATATCAAAAATTGGCATCCTGTTTGTACTACTTTTGTTCGACTTTTTACCGCTATCTCCGTAATTTTTCTAAGAGTAATACGTAACAAATATTTTAGGAGGACGGTAGCACTCAAGACCTGAACATCGACATGTTGGGCAATTTGGTAGAATCCAGCATTTTGTCACCCAACCGGCAGTTGTATGGCGCTCTACACAACAACGGACATGTGTTCACAGCATACATGCATGACCCTGTCCATCGTTATTTAGTAAGTGAAAAAAAAATGAGGTTGTAACCTTAGCATCTAGTTTCATGACTAATCCTCCTTAGTAATTTCCAATGCTGGAACGTGACCGAAGAGGCTTTTACAATGAATATCTATATGGTCCTTTGTCCCACTGATAAGAATACGCTAGCCTTGCGGAAGAAAGTATCGGTGCTGGCAAGGTACAAAAACTCCAGCTAGAAAGCGCAAATTCTTTAAATTCAATTAGGTGATTATCGGCATACTAATTTTTGTGTCTCAATTCTCATGAATGCCACACACTGTACAGGAAAACTTCGGCGTGATGGCAGACGAAGCAACGACCATGCGCGATCCGTTCTTCTACCGCTGGCATGCATTCATCGACGACCTCTTCCAGCAACACAAACAATCACCCTACGTTAGCCCTTATTCTCGCTCTGAGGTAAAGTCATCTCTACATCACAACCAATCAAACGTGATTGATAAATAATAAATACTGTTGACGGTTATAAATGGTTACGACATCTCTAGGTATGGCTATGAATGGTTGGCTATGAAGCCTTACACCCAGTAAACCATAGTAGTGGCTGTATATGGTATGGTCGAAATATACTAACGTCGTTCACGAATCACGCTTTACACACATTGACTTACAATTATATGGACGTCGGGTCCGCGCTAAAAAGTGTCCGAACTTATAGGGCGTTAAAATCGTATACAGAGCGTCATTCACGGTTTAGTCTTCGTTTGTTTCTTCTGACAGCGAAGCAAGCAAAATAAGACAGTACTGCGATGACATTACAATTTAAATTCAACGTTTTAGCTTTTTCATATTCCTTTACATGTCACTACGTTTAAATAGGTTGACTTGGGACATTTTTTTCGTGGCTTTTGTATTAGACCCGTCGTCCATTTATTTGTAAGTCAATGTTTACACAGGTTATTATATGTTTAACTCCTTTATTTACTCAAAACCAAAGAGATGATTAGGGGGACATTTTTTTTTGTAATGTCCAGTGACGGGACGAACAAGTCGTGCGCCTAGAGTTGGGTCGTGGATAAATATCATTGGGATAAATACTCAGTAGAAAGATAAATATAGATAAATATCCATTTATTTATCCATTTTTACTCGATATTTATCCAAAAACGTGGATAAATATTTTTAATCGTGTTTTATTATTTATATAGTAAAACAAAGTACATTTTTAAGCTTAATTGTAAACATTGATATAATTTAGTAGCATGCACGTATAGTATATTGCTTGTTACACCTTTTTTCTATACGCAGCGATAAAAAGAGTACGTTTATTAAGTACCGTAAATCCCTGTATTTTTGCGTGAATCTTATAATTTTTTAAATGCGTAGTTTCTAAAAAAAAATCTCTACACACAATATTAAACAGCTGTCTAACATTTTGCATGAATTTTTTTTTCAAATTACTAAGTTAGTCCGTTATTGTACAGTTGTTCAGCTTCGTACTCGTATATAGAATATAAGGATTTTTGGTTGTTCAATATTTTATTTTTAAAAACTGTACAGACTTCGTTGGAAATACTTAAACATTAATTAATTCTAATACAAAGGAAATTCAATTCAAAATTTTGCCAAAGCCTAATTTCGCTACCGACTAATTTACATGAATGCGAAAGAGACGGAGAGAGCACTCGATGGCACTCAATGGCATTCAAAGGCACTCAATGGCACTCAAAGGCACTCAAAAGCGCACAAAAGCACTCGCGGGCACTCATAGGCACTCGCTGGCACTCAAGGCACTCAAAAGCACTCAAAGGCACTCGCGGGTCCTCATTGGCATTAACTGGCACTCAAAAGCACTCGAAAGCACTCGCTAGCTCTCAATGGCACTCAAAAGCACTCATAAACAGACTTTGGCACTCAAAAACAGACTTTGGCACTCGCGGGAACGTAAAGGCACTCGCGGGCACTTAAAGGTACTCGCGGGCACCCAAAGGCACTCAAAGGCACTCGATGGCACTCAAAAGCACTCTAAGGCGCTCGCGGGCACTCCCGGGCACTCAAAGGCACCCAAAAGCACTCGCTGGCACTCAAAGGCACTCGCGGGCCCTCAAAGGTACTCGCGGCCACTCAAAAGCACTCGCGGCCACTCAAAGGCACTCGAAGGTATTCAAAGGCACTCGATGGCATTCAAAGCACTCAAAAACACTCAGAGGCACTCGCAGGCACTCCCGGGCACTCAAAGACACCCAAAAGCGCTCGCTGGTACTCAAAGGCACTCGCTGGCACTCAAAGGCACTCAAAGGCACTCGCTGACATTCAAAGGCACTCGCCGGCTCTCAAAGCACTCAAAAACACTCAGAGGCACTCGTAGGCACTCGCAGGCACTCCCGGACACTCAAAGACACCCAAAAGCACTCGCTAGTACTCAAAGGCACTCGACAGCACTCACAGGCACTCAAAGGCACTCGCTGGCACTCAAAGACAGTCACTGGTACTCAAAGGCTCTCGAAGGCACTCGAGGGCACTCAGAGGCACTCAACGGCACTGGTTGGCACTCAAAAGCTCTCAAAAGCACTCGCTACTACTCAAAGGCACTCGCTAGTACTCAGAGGCACTCGCACGCCTTGCTAACTCGCATATCTCTGGTGGAATAGCAGCCTAATCAAATCTTTTCATGCGAATGCTCGCCGGTGAAGGAGGTAGTTTGTAATGTAATGCTCAAAAACGAATGTTTACAAGCGAATGCACGCCGGTGAGGGAGCGCCCGTACATAAAACAATGGCAAAATGAGAAGTAATCGCACGTAATTATTTAATAAAAAATTTATTCTAATGAATTTTATTACAAAAAAACACAAAAAAATATTTATCCATGTTTTAGAACAAATACACAGTAAAAATGGGTATTTATTGGATATTTATTCCTTGATGGTTATATATATTTAAGCTGCACGCCTGTCCATAACAGTTGCAATGTCACTCAGAGCTATAAATCGCAAAAATCTGAGAGGCACTGCCACTGCGCCCGTGACCCTGAGACCCTTCAAATCCGGAACAAAGAACCGGTAAATGACATATCTCAGACCATCGAAAATTCCATCATGATTAGAACGTGCACTTAGTTAGGGCATCAACGACAGTACGTAACATTGTTACAAATTAACTCTAAGATTTTTGTAGTTAGAGAACCCAGGCGTGCAAGTACAATCAGTGGCCATCGAAAATGTGGAAGGTGATGGTGCGCAAAATACCCTGAATACATTCTGGATGCAAAGCGATGTTGACCTGTCTCGTGGCTTGGATTTCTCCAATCGTGGACCTGTCTACGTACGCTTCACACATCTTAACCATCGTCGGTTCCGTTACGTGTAAGGATTACTATATTTCCACTTGTATTTTGCAATCCGATAATATTCTGCGAATTCATTATCGTAAGTAAATTACGCTTGTTACATAGAATTAATGTGAACAACACCGGCATGGCTCGGCGCGCTACAGTCCGCATCTTCCTGGCACCCAAGTTCAATGAACGCAATCAGCCGTGGATTCTCTCTGACCAGCGGAAGATGTTCATCGAGATGGACAAATTTGTCACTACACGTAAGCCGCAGTAGTAACATTGCAATTGATAATTTCATTTTATCGTCGATAAAATTACTTAACATTCATTTCTTCTACAGTAAAAGCCGGGCAGAGCACTATAAACCGTGACTCGACGGAATCTTCCGTGACCATCCCATTCGAGCAGGTCTTCCGCAACTTGAGCGTCCAAGGCGAAAACCCTCGGCAAGACGCTCTCGCCGCTTTCAACTTCTGCGGCTGCGGCTGGCCTCAACACATGCTCGTACCCAAAGGCACGGAAGCTGGCGCGCAGTTCCAGCTTTTCGTCATGCTGTCTAACTACGACTTCGATAGGGTAATGACACTCAAGCTTAACATTTGATACTATGTAGAGGAGATCACTGCAGGACTTTCAATTAGCTTACAAATAACGTCATCTTACAGGTGGAACAAGATGACGGGCGTGACCAGACTTGCAAAGAGGCATCGAGCTTCTGCGGACTTCGCGACCGCCTGTACCCCGACAAGCGTGCCATGGGCTTCCCCTTCGATAGGCCTTCTACCTCCGCCAACAATATTAACGACTTCATCCTCTCAAATATGGCGCTGCAAGACGTCACTATCAAACTGCAGAATTCCACCGAGCCCAACCCTAGGAATCCCACGCAATAGACGACGGCATTTTTTCGACGAGGCAATACGTTCTAAAACAACTTGAGATGTTTAGATACCACCACTTAAGATTTTAAAAGAATAATGAAACAAATTGTGTTTTTGTGCTTTCTTGTGTAATCATTGCGGACATATATATCCATACCTAAAACATTATTTAGGAGACAGTTAATAATTTATTTTTACTAAGAAAATTGATAGTGAATAAAAGCTATTCAGGTTGTTTTAGTGTAATTGGAAAATTCAATAGGTTTGAGTGTTCATTAGGAGAATTAAGTAAGTTTCATTTATAAATAGAAAGGTTGATAGAATTAAGTTTAATGAATTGTTAAGATTTTTGTACATATCAGTTATTGTTAAGTTAGACCCAAGTATAATTATAAATGACGTTGCCGTTGTTAAGGCAATAGAGAAGTTTAATACAGAAGTATAATACAAGCAAGAAATAAAATGCAATGTATCTTTTATTTCCACGAAGAATTTGCAACCATTGTAAACATGAGAGTATGGTCGTTACGGAAAGGGACAACAAAAGAAATAGTTTTGACATTCCAAGTTTTTTTTTACAACATGTAAAAATATCTTTGTTAGCAGATTCATGTATCTAAACGCATGATTGAATCTCATCATAATAAAATACACTAGACGTAACGCCATACCAACCAATGCTTGAAGACTGCACGAAAAGTGTACTTTGGATACAGCCAGCCCAATATTAATATGGTTGCATAAGTTGCACTACATAAGTGTTGACTCTATAGTGTGAATTAGAGTGTGCAGAGATGCGCGTGAGTTTATGAGCATATTGTACCTCGTTTATAAAAAAAGACTACATATAACGGCATCCTCTATCGTGGCAAATATAGACCCTTAGCTTGCAGTGAAACGTGTGGAAAGATTAATCTGCTGCAATATTTCTGGAACTGCATCGAACCCTACTCACAAAGATTATTAAAAAATCCTGTCAGACCAAACTTTTCGGATGAAGCTTTAGCAATGATGTGTTTGAATATTCCAATATTGCAGAACAAAAACTCCGATGTGTCAATTTTATATAGGTAGTTTTGGAGAAAACTTACTTGAAAGTTCTTCGATTTTTTCGTAAAAATTTTCGTAAAAATCATACTGTTCAAACACGTGTACATCGATCTCGTTCTCTAGCACTGTTCATGTCTGATTTTGAGTCGTTATTAGTAGTCCCAAATATAACATAAGTATTGAGAAAAATTATATTGAGGTTAATACTCAATTCAATTTTAATATCAATGATTGGAACGAGTGGCATCACATATACACTGATGTGTCGAAAACGACCAGTGACCAATGTGTAGGAATTGGGGTAATGCATGAGCATTACGTGATACATATACAATACAACAGGTTAAGCTTCCCCCGAGATTTTCGTGTTTACAAGTGAATGCTTCGGTCTCTTTAAGGCAATAGAATATAACTTCTACTCGTAGGTAATTGCAGTAAAACTATTATTTTTTCAGACTCAAAAAGTGCTTTGCAAACCCTTAAGAAATTTCCTTTTAAAATGAAACCCTACTATCCTTAAATTTTCTAAATAGGGAAATAATTGCTACTGTGTAAACCTAGAGGCTACTCTGTTATTTTTGTGTGTTCATCCCCAGTCACCGTGGTATTGTAGGTAATGAGAAGGCCGATCAGTTAGCTAACGCTGCTTCCACTTGCGGAGACATGTTCCCTTGCAAAAAAATATTGCCATTACTTGATGGCTCTGTCCAAAGTTTATCTTCTGGACTCCTGGAATAAACTTTGGGAAGAGAGAGCTCGATCGAAAGGTAGATTTTACGTTAATATTCAACCTCACATTCCCATAAAGTCATGGTTTTATAAGATAAAGTCAGCCAAAAGTTCTACTTCTGTAATTACTCGTATGCCTCTTGGACATACATGTACTCCTCTCCACCTAGCTAGACTTCATATTATAGACAGCGATTTATGCGAGTGTGGTGATGATCTGGGGGACTTAGATCACATCTTTTTCTCTTGTTCCCGATTTGACCGTTCCTTCTTCCTCTAACAACTCCTATCTTTACATGTTCCTTTACTTACCCGTGTGTCATGCCTCCTCATGTATCCTATTCTCTTTTATTTATTACATTCATTTATTATTGTTAATGATATAAAAATTTAGTCCGGTACGGTGTCAGAAAGTTACGGCAGCCCAATATCCAGAGTCTGGTCCAAGGCACATCGCAGGCTGTTTAATTTATAAAGTTTGTCAATTTTCCCCTTCTCTCATATTTAGGCCCGTGTCCAGCAATTGGACATATAAATAGGTTGATGCTAATGACGATGAAATGTATTATTATTATGTTTTTTATTCTCAAGTCAAGCACCTAAATGCAGTGTAATTATATTAGAATCTAAAATAGATATCCAAAACAATAACAATAATGGTGGAATATAAGGACTCTACTGTTGTAATTTGATTATCAAGATTGTCAATTACCTATGCATCTACTCGTAGCGCCACCACTTCTATTATAGGTACAATAATCTAATGTGCTGGGTATAGCCCTTCTAAATGAAGTACGATTTTTCGATATCGTCACGGTTGGCAGGAAGAATAACGTCTGCACATGAGGAAACAGCCTCTGCCCATCATTATCATTTCGCCCACTGCTGGGCATAGGCCTGCCCCTACTAGCGGTCCTGCGCTGCTTACATCCAGCGGATTCCCGAAACTTTCACAAGGTCATCATTCCACCATGTGGGTAGTCTACCCACTATGCGTCTTTTTGTACGATCACTATTCGAGAACTCTTGGTCCCTTTATCTATCCGCCTATCATGTAGTGCCCAACGATTTTTACTGGTGGTGGTTGAGTTCTTTGTCTATACAGAATAGGTCGATACCTAACCTGTGTACACGTGCAGCACTATTCCGCGTTCCGAATAATAGGATTAGAATAAGGGGAGAGTTAGCATAATAACAGGTATAGAAAACTCACGGCTAGTAATATACATATTTGAAATTACTAAACTAGTAAAAATTTGAAAATTAAAATTGAATTGAATTAATAAATGAATGAATGAAAGAATTTTATTTCAGACAGTTTTAGGTATAGTTACATGTACATATGGTGTTAGTAGGTACTTACAACTTGTGAATAGAAAGAAAAGTGTTCATTTTCATGAACAAGGATGGACATCCAATACTTAAGGATTGGGCTGTCCATCCTCTCTGCTACCTATCACCTTAAGAAGACTGTTGGTGCTGCCTCTCACTCTGGCCAACAGGAATGCCACTCTCTTGCGAACGACGGCCTGAAAACTGTCAATCCTAGCCTCCGCAAACATCCCTGAGGCACTACAGCGTCGAGACAGCCCCAGCAGTCCCCTGAGGGCGTTTTCGAATTATGCGTTTGTTCGCGAATAGCCCACAACACAGTGTTTTATTTTTATTTACGGGCATTCATCCTTGTTACCCATGACCCTATATGAAGCCACGAGTGGAGTTGGGGCCCACACACGACGTTCCAGAGACGCGCACCTCTTACGCAATGTGGCGTCAAAACCGCCACGCGAGTGTCAGCAAACAGCAATGGACTAAAAATACCTACTTCCTTCCTGCAAATAGAAAGAACTCCCATTTTCCATGAGGCGACGTATGACAGTATCCCAAAAACAATAACGTGGAATTTTAACAAAAAGCATAAAAAAACAAATTCAATTTAGGTTTAGGTTTAGTTAGTAACGGAAGCAGCCACTGATTACGCGACCCCACAACAACATATTTACATTTATATTTTGAAATTACATTACGAAGTTCTATTAAACCATCAAGTGAATTTCGTGTGTGTTACTGCATGTGAGGTGAAATATTACGATTATACTACGATTTTTTTAATATGAAAGCATTTTTAATTATTTTTTATAAACTAAATTAATGATATGAAAAGTATTTTTTTGAGATTTTTTGTGAATTAACTCCACTAGTTTTGTTATGAATTTGAATACAAAAATCGAACACAGAAAAATTTTTGTCGTCCCGATGGGACATGAACCCATGCTGATTAAAGATTTGGAAATGACTAAATATATTTTTTACTTCTTTCATTATGCGAAGTATAATCTTTAATATTTTTTCTCCTGTATAATAGAGGTATGGCAAACAGTTCTGCATCACATTCAATACATCCAATACTATCCTACCATCTTATCTGTAACTATAATTTCTCTCATATTTCAATTTCATTACAAGAGACTTCTTCAGAATCAGATTTATTATCAGAAGAGGATAAAATATCTGCCGAACCACTATTTCCGTCACCATTACACTGCTTTGTAGTCTCAAGATACGAAATGGGCTGTTATTGTACTTCTAAATCCATGGAATCGCCAACTTGGGTTTCTGATTCTTCAAAAATCTGTTCGGTATTGCACTGTTTGGGTATCGAATGACAAATTACTTTTCTTTGTAATTCTTTATGTTTTGCGAAAACTCCGTTTTTAGCAAGTACTTAAAACGCGTAAATTAAAAACGATAGACTCAAGATCATAATTAATATATAATTTGTTAAAGTTAATTAGTATTCTAATCAATGCTAATCATCCCGTTACAGAAAGCGTCATGCATTTATAGGATTTCCAATAAAAGCATTAGAACTAGCAATCTCAAGAGCAATATACTTATGTATAAATATATTAAATATATTCAAATTAGAGTTTAAGTCATATATTGCGCTTTTTGAAACCTACTTGTCAGTGTGCTCTTGTTAAGATCATAAAAATTAGTCTTATAAACCTTTTTAAGTATTTTTATAAGATGTTTGCCCTTGACACTGTATTGGCATTGTAAACTGCAGTTAAAAGCACATTAGACCAAAGCTGTTTTTAGACTTCTACAAGATTCAAAGCATTATAACCTTCGATTAACAAGAGTAATTTGCTAGTTGGGCTACAATGCCTGTCGTATTGTTTCAAACGGAAGTTGAAAAAAAAAATGTAACAACTGTTTAATGCTTTTGTAAGTAATAAATAAATTAAAACAAATAAAAAATATTGATAAGTACTTTCAAATGTTCTCACGCCACAAACAATTTATATCAGTTCCGTTTAGTGGTTTTGCACTTCTTAAATGTGTGGTAGGTCACCACAATATTGCACTCCATCCCAAGTTTACATAATGTATAAAAACAACTTCTTGTGACTTGTACCACATCACTTCACAGGTCTCTGTGAAGTGCAGTAACCACTCCGTAGGTCTTAATTTTACGTTATTAACTTCTTATAGTTTTTATTTTAATTTGTTTCGGAAGTTAATAGTGAACGATTTAAAATGGCAGACGAATTGACTATAAAGAGTCTGACTCTACTGTTCGATCGTCCCAACGAACCGTTGATCACCCCAAAGGGCGAAAACAATACTATCTTTCAGCTGACTGATCAATTTATCGTAAGTTAAAGAAAATTTTGCTTTTGTCTTTCTTGCATGTTTTACTTGTCCTGATGTATCTTGCCTTTACTGAAATGGTATAGTAAAATTAAATTTTAGCACCATTTCCCTTTACTTGCAGTAGGTAATATATATGTATACATAATAAAATATACACGTAATTTATAATAAAATATTTCTTACTTTGATTAGTATTGTACAATTTGATTTTATTTTCAATTAAATTGTAAGATCTCTCTATGTACTTACTATGAAAGATGAAAATAACGTTATCGTATAAACTTAAATATAGGGCGTGAGTTGCTAACGTGAATACGAATTACTCTATTCGAAGTAACACTCAGATGTTGAAAAAAATTTTTTCATCTCCATTGAGAGTTTAAATATATTTCACCTCACTATAGCGAGGTAAATGGTAGATGAAAGAAAAAAAGTTTAACTATAACAAATCGGTTTAGTTGTTCGACGAATTACAAACAATTGATAAACAAAATTATTTATCATTGTGACTTTAATGTCAACAATAATAAGAATATAATATACCAACGGATTTATGGATGGATTATATTACATAAATAATGTAAGACACATCGCATCGTCAAGTTCGAACTTCAACAACCTTTTAAACAAAAAAACGCTTTTGCGCGCAGAATTTCTAATCGAGAAAGAAAGCCCTTTTCCAAGCAAGTAAGGTGAAAAATACATAACTTTGTAACGGATATGTAGATTACGTAGATTCTTAAAAGACAACCTGCCTACTTGGCAGTTTTGGATTCTAAAACAACACACCCTTTAGCCTCCAGACTACGAGAACAATGGCTTAGACCTCAACAACCGCTACGGTGAGGATGCTTCCGAGACGATCCCACTGAAGAACTTGAGCCAGGTGCCGCAGTTTCCCCTTGCGTCGCAGCTACCACCCGATGCAGAATTCTCTCTCTTCCTGCCGAAGCACCAGGCGATGGCCTCGGAGGTCATCGATGTACTTATGAGTGAGTAAACATGTCGATACACGCATTTACTGCTATCTTGGACTAAGAATACCCGCAATAATCTTAACGTATTTGAAAAAACGTATGCGAATGGTTAGAACTACGTAGCCAACCATGTTTGCAGTTGTATATAAGTCGTGCGTTTATAATTAAGATATTCGTGCTTGTATATTTTAGAACATTTAGTGGGACGATGTTGTTTTTTTTAATTTATTGATTTATTTATTTATTCATGGAAAACCAACAGCTTTAACCATTTAATAAAAGCAGGAATATAAACATAAAGCCAATTACAGGTTTCCACCTATAGTTTCACACAAATCAAACACGCGCATTAAAGAAAATAAACGATAAACAGTACCCATTTGTTCATAACGTACACTTACATAAATATAATAACCCAATACAACAGTCACAAATTAATCAATAAAATTAAATAAAATGTCTGTAAGTTTACGCTTCAGGGCAACAACATTTACAATTGATTATATCAACATCCAGGTCATGATTGCTCACCTGCACTCTCCAAGCTCTTGCAAGCTTTACATGGGAAACTATTTTGTCTATAATTACTATTATAATTTAATGATTACTTTAGTTAATTTAATTTAATGAGATACATTAAATTAAAATAATTAAATTAATGTAGATACATTAAATTAAATTAAATTAAAATAATTAAATTAAATAAGACTTTATTCATGAAACACACACACATATACATAGAAAATCACACGATATTATGTACTAATAAATTATGAACTATGAGTGATGAAAAGGACGAACCCTCAGCATAGTGTTGTTTTTCAGTGTCCGCCTGTTAAATATGATTTTGTTGTAAATTAAATAAAATAATAATATTCAGAAATATCTAATTTTAGTTCCTCTAATATTAACAAGAGGACTAAAAATAAAACAAAAGAATCTGTAAAAGACTTACTTAATTTACAAAATTCACTTCTAATTTTTACTACATATTACAGGGAAGATAAAAATCCAATGGTTAATTTAATATAGATGTACATAGTCTTAACATACACCTACTTTGCTGCGAATTTGTTATTTGATTAGAAATATATTTTGAGTTCTTAGGTTTTCGCGATTGTTACACATAGGAAATGAAACTATTTTTCCGGATTTAATAATAATAATCGCGTATATTTGTTTTTTCAAACAAATCAACATCACATACGAAATCAGTCAACCGTCACCATGGGGCCTGTAAAGGGCCCGAAACATCGGTTTGATTGAAAAAACAAATATACGCGATTTAAATCCGGAAAAATAGTTTCATTTCCTATAGAAATATATTTTTTGAATGTTATTGTATATTAATAGTAAAAAACGTAATTGGAAAATGAAACTGTTTTTTCGGATTTAAATCACGTAGGTTATTATCGTATATTATTTGGTTTTCCAAACAAACCAACGTTTCGGGCTTTTGGAAAGTCACGGTCACGATTGATTGCGAAAATTTTATATTTTATGAACGCCATAATTATGGATTCGCTATGTCGTTGATACTTCTCTATGAAGAGGCAGTAGGTGGCAACTACACAGGAAGCAGTTGGAAATCGCAATGTAAGTAGAGTTCGTAGATGGTTTTTGAGGTCTCTATGGACCAACAAAATTCATAAATCGTTATATGTTACTACTTACTATGAGCGTCTACCCGCTACTCTCAAACTTGAACTATCTGACGAAGCATATAGGCGCTAGCTGAAAATTTTTCCTTGAAAAACCCTTTACACTCTTAAAACGAATTTATGGCCCTTAAAATATAAGACTATTAAGTATTTTCTATTTTATTTTATAATTTTTTAACTCATTTGACATACGTTTGCACTATTTCCTCCTATTTCTTCGGGTCGAGTATTTGTTATCAACTTATGACAATTCTTGATGAAGATTAATATTTGTTAATTAATTTAATGACAACTATATCATTATTAATGAATCATTAATTTTATAATTATTATGCGTTTTTCATTTTTGTTTGACAATCTCAATATAATTTCTTATAGGTACTTTGGCACGTTTGTACTTACCAGTAGTGCAATTTGAACCGTTCACATCTGAGAAATAGATAATCTAATCTAATTTATGAGGCTATTCTAGATACATGTACATATCAGAACTTTGTAACAGCAAAAGAAAGTTTTAACCAAATTGTTTCTCTAAAATACAATATAGGATGTTGACGGGATCAGCCGTCAGTGACATAGTGTAAATATTATTTAGAATCAATATAAGCACTACAGCACAAAGGAAAGTAATGACTTTTTTGAGTACGGTACTATTCAAGTACAATGCACTGAAGACCTCATGTCTTTCTCTGGTCCAAATTACGGCTGTTGCGAATTACAGCAACCGCATCCGCGGATAATCAGTACAAATTAAAATATCAGCATCCGCATTTATTGATGCTCATATTCATTGCGGATGTCCGAGTCGTGACGTGATCTAAAAGGCAGGCTGGAATAATTTACCTACAAACCTTCCAAAAACAGACTGCAAGCTGAAAAAGCAGTTCAACCGTTGTTTTTAATATATAACTTTGATAAAATTTCACAACGACTAAGCTAGGCTTTCATGAAGATTGATTCTTTTGTTAATAAATGTCATAAAATCGTTGAAATAATATTTCATTACAATACTAAAGAAAATAGAAAGCTTTTTCATGTAGATAGATAGATTCAGTAGGGGGAAGCGGGGCAGTTTCGTACACTTTTTTAACTTTAATTTTGGGCTACTAAATGAAATTATAATGAATATGTTTTCTACCTAATTGATGGGATAACTAATAAACATTACTAATTTAATCTTCTCTTTCATAAATAGCATTGAATAATTGGAAAATTTTGATTTTAACAAAACTGGGAATTGTCCTATTCTGCGCCACCTGTGGGGTACTTTGATACATCGCTTGGGGCACTTAGATGTGTGAATCAACGTAGTGTGCCATTCCTGGTTGTCACGTATTATCAGCACTAGGTGATCAACTGTTCAGAAAGTATGACGATATCGTCAAGAGCTCAGCAACATATAGATGTTGCTGAGTTCTTGCTAGATCAAGACTTCTTTCTAGGGCACCATTTGAAAAGTGTTCCTTGTAATGGAGTCTTGGTAGCAGAAATACAGGAGAAAGAGCTGACTATAGCGCAAAATGTCATTAGTTAACCTCTTTACAATAACTTGTTGACACAGTTTTACATTTTTCGTACAAAATAACTAATATGAGCACTTTGATACGTACCAAACTGCCTCACTCACTAGTGTTTGTTTTTTTATAAACAAAATTACGTGCGCATTTGACCTCCATCTCACCTAATGGAAAGGGGATGATGATGTCGACGATGAAGTATGACACCTAAATAATGCCTATTCACTCTCGCTTTGAAAAGGTCCAAGTTATAGCGTTCGGGGAACAAGTCTGCAGGCAGGGAATTCCACTCCCTAGCCGCTCGCCATACAAATGTAGAAGCGAAGCGCTTCGTGCGAATCCGGGGAATATCCTCAACATAGAGGTGGAACCCTTGCCCACGTGCAGTCTCCCGATGATGGAAAGGGGAAGGCGGAATTAAATTATGCAATTCTATCGCACACTCTCAGTGATATAGCCTATAGAATACCGATAAGCTGGCAACTCTACGGCAGTGTTCAAGGCTCTGCAGCTTCGCCTCTACTAATTCTGAGTCACCTATGAGCCTCTTAGCACGCTTGTCTATTGAACCCAAGGTGGCCAGTTAGTATTTAGCAGAGCCATCCCAAAAGTGGCAGCAGTACTCCATACACGATCGGACTCGTACTTGATACAGCTGAAGCAACTGTCCCGGTGTGAAGTAACGCCTCACCTTGGAAAGGATGCCAAACTTCTTGGCTGTATTTTTGGCCATGGATTCAATGTATCTGCCGAAGTTCAGATTGGACGACAGTTCCATTTCAAGTAGGTAAAGACGGTCGGCTATCGGTATGGATAGATCACGAAAAGTCAGAGTCAGGTGAAAGGAACTCCGTTTAGTGGAGAAAAAACACGCCTGCGTTTTGGTAGCATTGAATTTGCCAAGATTGGCATCGCCCTAATCGGAGACTGCCTTAAGTTTCTCATTCAAACGACTAACCATGGACTCTCGACAAGACTGGATTTCTTCTCCACTGACCCTTGCATTGGTCAAGTACCTGTCCACAACTGTGCTGTCATCAGCATACCCAAAGGTACCTGGAATCAACATATCGTTTATATGCAGCAGAAAGAGGGTTGCGGACAGTACAGAACCCTGAGGAACTCCTATCGCCCGATGTTCGGAAGAGTAGCCTTCTAAGACCACTCGAATCGAACGTTAACTCAAGAAATCCGTAATCCAATTGCAAAAGACAGCGGGAAGCCCATAAGAGGGAAGCTTGCTCAAAAGGCTTGCGTGGCAGACCCTGTCAAAGGCCTTAGTAATGTCTAAAGACACTGCAATGGCTTCGCCATGCCCTTCTATAAGTGAGAGGCGTACACAAGAAGATCCCCAGTAGATCGTCCTCTTCGGAATCTATACTGGCGATCACTGAGGAGATCGTTGTCTTCAAGGTATGACATGAGACGGTTGTTAAGTACACGTTCCATAGTATTGCAGAGTGTAGAAGTGACTGCGATATGTCTATAGTTGACAGGGTCGGCTCTGCTTCCTTTTTAGGCGCTGGTTGCACATTTGCAAGCTTCCACGACCTGGGAACTACACCAGTCTCAAGCGAGAGGCGATACAGGTATACCATATATATATAGTATAAAAGTACCCCCCTGCCAGTTAAGAAAAAAATATTTCTTTTTAAAAAATCTTTATATATTCTCTCAAAGTCACATGCAATTCTAGTTATTGAAAACACTAGTTTACTCTGTATTAAGACATAAAACCCTGTAAAAAGAACGAAACTGCAATGGCACTTTATTTTTGTCGATTATTTTTTTAGTCAACGGCTGTGAAAACATTTGTGACCTGTCGAACGGTAACGGCTAACTGGTGAGCTGCATCATCGCATGTCTATTACTCACACGTACAAGTATTAGCACTACTAATATTATGTTTGAAGGTGTATGAATGTGCCCCCTGTATCAAACTGCCCCGCTTCCCCCTAACCATTTACATTTTTCGCGTCTTTTTCGAGAAAATCAACATCCGCGTCACCTTCCGCTGATGTTAAGATAAAAAAAATCAGCATCCGGATCAACATCCGCTGATGTGTAAAAAACTTGTATCAGCAATAACCCTAGTCCAAATAACCATGGCGCAATAGCGTTCTGGTAAACTGAATGTAATACTTCTTACAGATGTGCCGGAGAATCAGTTCGCAGACTTCGTGTCCACTTGTGCCTACGCCAGGGTGCATCTGAACTCACAGCTTTTCAACTATTGCTTCTCTGTCGCTTTGATGCATAGGTATAATAATCGTTTATACAAATTAACCATTTGACCGCCGTGGATTCTGTAAAGCGTCTTACTTAACTTGGTTTATACGCCAAATGCGCCTTAAAGCGTCTTTAGCGTATAATCCAGCTTCTTTTACTAAAGAGAATTAAATTAATATAAGGTGAAAAATCGTAACATGTCACATCTCTACATAGGCTTGGCGTCTAAATGAAACTAGTTTTTGTCAGTGGCGATCAAAAGGTCAAACGAAAAAACTTAAAAAGCTAGTTAGTTCTTACTCCCGTTCCAAGGTAAAGTTACTTTTAAGTCCGCTATCATTTACAGTGTGCTAATTTCAATATATTTAGAGTGTCATGGCGACGTCAAATTAGACACTTATAGAAGTGTTGCAGTGGCGCGACAGCTGCGTATGTTTCACTTCATGAATTATGACTCCCTGTAAAAGTGGCACGCGTGTTACGACCATGGCGGCTGCGACTAGCGATGGGACAAGTTGCATTTTTTTCAACTGGAGTTACTCGAATTGAAGTGGCTGCTAACTTGAGTTAACTCGACTCGGTGTCTGACAGAGCAACCGAGTCGCGAGTAGAACTCGAACCAACGATTCACCGAGTTGGGCACGATCGGCCGGCCGACCGCGACTCGAGCGTGCTCCGAAGCTCGCCGGACCGACCGAGCCGACGACGACGCGCTGTATGAATGCGCTATTCGACTCGACGGAAACCGAACCGAGATAGCTCGAGTCCACAAAAAGCTAGCTGCGACTCCACTTCAATTTGAAGTAGCCCTAAATCACACTTATCAAATGGTATTGTTAGTAAGGTAGGCTAGGTAGTACGGCACACTAGTGGTAATATGCAATTACGGTCATATTTCACTTAAACAAAATTATATTGTTTTGTACAAACCGTTTGATAATCTTGCTAACTATACATATACACATTTTTAGAACGACACCTATAACGTATTATTTTCTATCTCCAGACGAGACACACGCAATGTGCCGATTCCCAATTTCGCGGAGACGTTTCCTTCAAAATTCATGGACTCACAAGTGTTCCAGCAGGCTCGCGAATCCACGCGAATCTTGGAAGGCAACGAGGTAATATATGTATATATTTTGTAGGTATTCGTTTAACGTTACAATAGATCCAGATATTAAAATACTGAAAACTTGAAGTAGATTTACTTATAATAATAGATTAGGTTCCCAGCACTTAATAATCTTATGATCTTAATCTTATTTATGTCCATTATAAAACACAAAAATGTAAGACCCAGCCCTGCACTGCGAGTTTCCATTTAGTCCAGTCATCGAGTATATAACCAGAAATAGAGACGAAATAAGGGCCATATATTCCTAGTAACACATTAGCGATACAGCTCTTATAAATACAACTCCCGTGGGAAAAACAGCAAAACATCTAGTTACAAAACAAACGGAATCACATTTCATCGGTTATTAAATATGTAATTTTGCAATTTTCGTCCATTATAGCAAAGCTCAAGTTAACTGGTCGATTTGAAATGAAACAGTTGACGACACCCATTGTCGACACCCGTCAATTCTTTCGAACTCGGACTAGTCAATCGGAGCGCAGTTGTCACAGTAATGATATGGCAGAATAGTTTTCAAACAAATTAAATGACATTTCGTCTCTATAATTTCTGGTTATATACTCGATGAGATATCACATTTCATGTCTTACACTATTAGGTACGTGACGTACATAAAGGTACATTAAGTCGCTATCTGAGAACTCGACTGCATGAAATTGATAACGACTTTACGCATTAACCACATACAGTCAACCTCAGCTGCATGAAGTCGGTTTCGACTGCATGCAGTTAATGCGTGAAGTTGTTATCTGAGACCTCGACTGCATAAAGATGATAACCGTATTTACGTATTACCTGCAAACATACAGTCAACCTGTTAGAACAATAATAATAATAATGAATATAATAATAATAAAGAACATCTTTACTAATCTCAACAATGCAATGCTGTCTACGTCTGTAATAGGCTAACATATAAGTACAAAACTAATGTAAAATTACGCTATTATCTAAGAGTATAAGGGTCGTATTCCAGAACTCTACTCAATACTCAAGTCAGGACATGAGTATTGCAGTGAGCACTGATCATCACAAATCATACTCAAGTCCTTGCCATTAGGGTCGTATTTCCAGTGCTTGAAATCATACTCAAGTCTGCTCAAGTCCTGACTTCAGCATTGAATACAGTTCTGGAATACGACTCTTAATGTTCTACTGTTGATGTACATACCTTATCTATAAAATAAATAAATACAATACAAAGGAACGTAACAGAAGAAATATTTGGTCTGTGGAAGAAATACATACGTACAAGATCTGATACTGTATAAAAGGAATATTGTGATAATAATATTAGGAGAGATTAAAATACTTTGCCGAGCACGGTTAGATGAAACGTTCCCCGCTCCAAATTAAAGTTGTCTTCATTTTTAACCGACTTCAAAAAAGGAGGAGGTTCTCAATTCGACTGTATGTTTTTTTTGTATGTATGTTACGCGATAACTCCGGTATTTGTGAACCGATTTTCATGATTCTTTTGTTGAAAAGGGGGTACTTCCATAGTGGTCCCATTTCATTTTGAAGAAAATCATCCACCTCTAAGGACGGCTGTTCACGCATGAAGATTCATTTTCATGAATAGCGCCTAAATTTTACTTAAGGAGCAATTATTTTAATGGTTGATTTTGCTATTTCTCCAATTCATTCGTCGTTTTTCTCTCAATATACTTTGAGTAGTGAGAACCGATTTTTATTATCTCCAGTGTCAAGTCCTGTATAGTAGCGAACTAAAACATACTAAATACGAACTAAACTAAAATTCAATAAAACTTAGCAAATAGACGTAATTCCACGTACTTTTGAGGTCAGTTTTTTTGATGTCACTATTTCTGAGGCAGACATTCTACAAAATAAATAAATCGTTAAATCTTAATCTTAAGTAAGTTTCACATTTTATGATATTGGTAACAAAAAGTAATTATATTTATGCTAAATAACAATTATAATATTGTAAAGTAAAGCATATATTATAAAATAATCAGTTTTTTGTGTCTTCTGTAAAGTAACCCGATTTCACATTCGCGGTACCTACTGAATGCCGAACGACTAAAAGTTTGTTGTTTTTTTTATGTTTGTGTTACTTAAACTGTCTCCGTGGTTACCGGTTACCATGCTAAACTGTCACGCGGAGGTCCCGGGTTCGATTCCCGGGCCGGGAGAAATATTTCTATGGCCTCATGAATTTGGATGTAGTTTGTGGTTGTCTATGCGTGTGTCCATGCCACCCGCGATGGTTTTCCCTGATGCGGGGCTATGAGTGCGTGTGTTGTTATTATTATTTCTAATTCGCACTTCCATGGCCCTTTCTTCCAAAGTATTACCCCTTACTAACCCCTTACTAATGACAATAATTTAAAAAGAAAACTGATCGATATTTTGCCTAGTTACGGCTGCGGGAACATGATTAAGTTTCCGACCCGTGTCACTATGAGAAATTTAGGTCAGTTACGGATCAAAAATCTGTAACTTTTTTGTTTTTCGAGATACTCCTTTCAATTTTTTTTGTACATAGTAGGAATTGTGACGATTGTCAACGCATATATATTTTTATTTAACTATCTGTAATTAAGAGGAAAAAAAATTGCAAAATCTTAAATCTCTCCCTGGTAAATACTACTCAATATTTATTTTTTTTAAATTTAAATGCCGTGTTACAATAATTCTTTATTTATAAAATAAATTAAATTTGATTATAAATATTGGAATATGAACGCAAACGCGGCAACTACGCGCCTGCTCGTAGCAACGGAGCAAATACTACACATAAGAAAAATGTTATTTTGTCAACGTAAGGAGCGCTCTCTGCTTGCCATCCTGTGAAAACGAGTGCATACAATATTTTAAATTTTCTAAAATAAATAGTCAAAGTAATTGATTTAGTCATTGCTTTATTTCCAACAATGAATTTTACTTTTTTTTTTAAATAATAAAAAATAAAAATACGAGACAAAAAAACGAAATCGTATTTGTCATTATTTCGGTTAAACTGTTTTAGACTCTATTATTATTATTGTTATATAATATCTTTTTCAAAATCAGTGACGAGTTGGTCCACTTCCAATAGACGTAGCGTCTCCTCGTCAAGCTCCTTTCGATTTTTAACATAAGGTTTTCGGTTACTAGTAATTTACAAAGTAACGTGTGAATTACATCTTCATTTGCAGCAGATCTTGAGCACTTTCTTGCGTGGTGTAATCCAAATTTTTTGTAGTCTTTATTACGAGATTCTTAAGCGTCTTCTGAAAGTTGTCCGATAGGGAACACTGCAAAATGGTTAATTATACCTTCTCTATGAATTAGAATATTTTGTGTACCGAAGATATAATGCCAATCATATTTATTTCTTGCGGTTGTTGCGGTTATTATCTTATCGCGTTGCATTGTTATGGGTATTTTTCTGCGGTAGGAAATTTGTTATGATTTCTTTCATATCTTTAGAAACCGCAAAAAACCGCAGCTGATTTTTATAAAATTTTGATAATGAGTACCTACGCTTTGAAATAATACAAAATTTGAAATTTTGATTTTCTTCGGCAAGCTTCTTCGACGACTTCTATTACACAATAAAACCAATGTTCCATGGATGACTAATGAAATTAATAAGTACCTACATGCAAAATTATAATGACCTCTCCCATTTCAAAAAACAATACCCCGAAGACCGTGGTATTTTAATTGCATTCAGTACTACTCCGACTTGATTAAACGTAAAGTCTTGGGAGTCTGACAGGAATATACAGAAAAAAAGCTGAGAGATAGTGGAAAACCCTCCAAAGAAATTTGGAAAATAGTAAACGAAGAAATCTCGTCAAAACAGAGCAGGAAAGATATAAGTCTTAAGAACTCTATGACGTAAATAATGTAGAAGAAAGGGATAACCTGACCATCTAAACTCGTATTTTTTAAGTATCGCGTTATAATTGAACATTGGGGTGGATGAGCGGTGTTTTATGCAAACGTACGGAGTGCCAATGACTTTGACTTACCCGCTGTCACTCGTGCCTACCTTGACTGCGTTGTTAAACCATGCTGAAGACCCGAAACATTCTTGACATATATGACATATCCGTCAACACACTACTGTCTATCTGGCCAATACTATAAAAAATATTGGTAACCCTAATCAACAAGATGTTTACCAATGCTGTCTACCCCGACATGCTTAAGCATACAAGAGAGTGTCCATTATATAAAAGTAAGGGTGACAAAACATCGGTCGACAACTATAGTACCTAACATCTCCAAAATTAAAATCGATTTTGTCACAGCACTTAATGTACCACTTCGAAACCAATACCTTACTGACCGACAGACAATTCGCATACCGACAACACATGTCCATCACAACAGCAGCATATAAAACAATTGACTGTATCACCACAGGCATCGGTGACAAGTGTAAAATAGCTGGCATATTCTGCGACTTGTCCAAAGCCTTTGACGTCATAAGCCATGACCTACTTATAAAAAAGATAATGTGCTATGGCCTACGAAGACATGGTGGTGAAAAACGATCTAAAAACTGCGATCATTTTTAGAAAACCGACCACAAACGGTTGAAGTAATGACGAATGGAAAAAGGCTGAGGTCGGAGTCTGGTAGGGTGACGGTTGGAATTCCACAAGGATCTGCTCTAGGGAATACCCTTTTTATGACCTTTATAAATGACCTACCACCTGCCATATCGGAAGGTTAAATAATTCTGTATGCTGATGACACAACAGTAGTAGTCAGTGCGCGCATACAAGCAACTAAATCAAAAAATCACCACAGTATGCGAACAATGGGAAAGATGGTTTTCAGCAAATGGTTTGATACTCAACGTAAACAAATCAAATGTTATGCTCATCTGTGGTAGGCACGTTCCGAGTGTGAGTATCCAGTGTCCTATTCCGGTGACTGACAAATGCAAATTCTTGGGTTTTACTTTGGATCCTACCTTGAATTGGAAACAGCACGTAGACTCGCTATGTGACAAGCTGGGTGGTGCGATGTTTGCTCTGCGTAAACTAAAACCGTTGGTGTGCAATAACAAACAAAAAATAAAAGTGTAAATGCGTTGAGGCAGGCGTACTTTGCACTTCCACTCAATTATGACTTATGGTGTTATTCTGTGGGGCAATTCGACAGACGCTGACAGGGTAATGAGTATACAAAAGCGAGCGTTACGAACCATAGTCGGCATAACCCAGAGGCAATCCTGCAAGGCGCTGTTTGCTGTACACCGAATAATGACCCACTACTCGCAATATGTTTTTGAGGTCATTATGTTCACACTTAGCACAGTTTAGGCGACAAGTCCGATCAGTATCGCGTCGCCCTGCACTACACGAGAAAAACCCGCGGGTTGTAGGACCGACCTACTACGAGCACTTACGTGCCGAACTAAAATATGAATGTTGTGAGGAACCGTTCAGGTGTAGACTGAAGAACCTTTTATTGGAAAAGTCCCTTTACTCAGTAACAGAGTACGCTCAAAGTACTTAATAAATAATTAAATTATTATATTTATTTATCTAATTATAAA